ATTAAGTAGTCAATGAGCCTTATGATTCTGTATTAATCCTTTATGTGTTAATATTTTGTTTTCTTTTTCTGGGAAATACTGAAATGTAAAGAAATGTCTTCAGGAGTCAAAAACAATGAAGTTTGGAAAGAGCATTTGGAAAGGTCTATGTGTGCCCTATACTATACAGAACCAGAGTTATAGGTCTGAGTCACTGAAGAATGTAACAAATTCTTTGTCAAATGTTCTGTAAACAAAGAAAAGGATAATCAATTGGGCAATGAGTTATTCAACATTCACCTAGTTGTGTCATTTCCTGTTGGCTAAAGAATGAGAACCAAGTCCATACATCAGCAGTCAATCATATTAGCAGTCAATATTAATGAGGAAAAACAAATCCAAATTCTGTAACCCAGACTAGAGCTCACATACCAAACAGCCTACACAGCTTATTTGAATGCCCTTGACAAGGAAAAGAGACATAATTCTAAGTGAAAATTAAGGAAAAGATAGATTCTCTTCCAAGGAAACAAATTCTTCCCAAATAATAAGTCCAACCCCTTAAATTTTATGAACCATCCTTTTCTCAATTCCTTTTCTCACACACAAAAAAAGCCTATCACTGTTTTGATGTTACATGAGGCCAGCTGAGTGACCATCCCAATGAAGAGACAATTCTGAAAGTGTCACCCTCGTTACAAGTTCACACCCTGCTCTTATCTTTATATTGCACTTCCTGTATTTGAAGCTATGTCACATCCACCATCATATTAAATTCTCTGAGAGAATGACTATGACTCATAGCCATATGTTCTGACGTAATGTCTGTAAAAGCATTCTGCATGTTTTCTTGTTTTTATGTCATCTCTTGCTTCGTTGATGATGTCTGTAAGAGACCTGTGCTTTCTCCTCATGATGCACCTGCTCCTTCAAATGCTTTGACTGGAGTCTGAAGAGAGGCAGGCAACCGTGAATAAACAATTAGGATTATGCCTCACAATTTTCCACTGTGAGCTAAGATCTCCATACACACCCTTCATGGAGAAGGGGTTGTCTGACCTGTGTTTCTAAAGAAGAATGTTCTAAAGTATAGGGCACATGATTTTTTAAGCAGCCTTATTGTGCAAATTAAAGGAGGCAGATATTATCATTCTTTTGCCAGGATGATACTAAGGAAAATCATTCAGCTAGCATTTGCCCGAGGTCAGACAGTGCCTTAGTGTTTAGCCTGGACTAAAATTTAAATGTTCAGACTTGTAGTCCAGTGCTCACAGGAAGAACAGAGCTATTCCTTATCAGTCCTATACCACCCCCCAAAAGCTGATTCTCTCTCAATTTGCCCTCTCAATGCTTTTTGTGTCAGATGTGATGCAGTTTCTATAGAAATTTGGACTTCCCTCCAATAAGTAAAGGGTTAACAACAAAAGAAATACGGTAATTTTCTTTTTAGCTCAAACCTCTTCAGACAATTGAATGCTGAAAACACACAGTTTATTCACCAATCTATGTTGAAATGTTTGCTTTTTTCTTCTTCTTTTGAAGTTAGGGGTAAACTAGAGAAGGAGAGGGTAATAGGAAGACAAAGGAAGATAAATAGAAGCAATGATAAAGGGAAGGGCATTAGGTTAATATACAGGGGTAGGTAAAAGTAGGTTAATAAATATAATAAATAGTACAATAATCAATAAATAATGCAAGAATAAATTCTGCTTTGCATATTTACAATGGTAAACCTACTTTTGCCTACCCCTGTATAATCCCCTAGATGGGGCTTCACATCTTCCAAATGAATGTTTTTCTTAGGGAAAAACCTCCCATTGCAGTCTAAACTTTTAGTCTTTTCTAGGACTTTAGGTATCATTTAGATCTGAAAACTTCATTAAAGATGAGCAGTTCCATCAAGGATTTAGTTATCAGAGTGACAGTTGCAGACCTAGAACTAGGTCCATTCATTCTTTCTTTAATTCCTGAATTAATTCATGCATTTAAGTAATCACATCACTACTCTGATTCAAGCTTCCCTATGTCTAACTAAATGTTTCCCTAGAATGAAATCCAAACTCTATCACCATATCTCCATTGGCCAATTATTTCATCCCTACCTGTTTTCTTTTGCTTCCCTTCCTATTTTCTCTTTCCCTGACTAGGCCTCAGTGACTCTGGCCTTCTGAATTCTGTTCCTTAAATCTGCCAAACACTCTCCCTCCATACTGTCTTTTCACTATCTGCTTCCTTGCCTTCCATTAGACTTCTCAAAGCTGATTTGTTCTCATTATTGAAGACTCAGCTTCCTTATAGAGGCACTGCCAGGCCACTGTGCCTAACCGCAACCTGCTATGCTTTACTGTGCCGTCCTGTTTTTCCTTCATAGAGCTCAGCACTGTCATTCTTATTCGTGCAGTTGCTTCCTTATTATTGTGCATCTCTTGTCTGGAATGCGTGCTCTGTGAGCATAGCAAATAGGTCTGGCTTGTTTACTGTTATACTCACAGATCCTAGAACACAGTGCCTGGCATATAGCAGGTGCTTAATAAATACTTGTTGAAGTAAATACTAATTTTTAATTTTTGAATATCCATCCACCTGAAGCATTAGAGATTCAAAGAAGAAAAGGAAAGAGTTCTTACCCTAAAGAGACTCAAAGTTTAATGATTTCAGGCAGTTGATTTTCTACTCTATTACACAGACATTAAATTTCACTCAGCAACTTGCAGATTCCTGGAGATTCAGGTAACCTGATTTCCAAAAATATTTCCACTCTGATTCCAGATTACTCATGAGTAAAGTGATCATGTCTCTCAGTTTGTCTGGGACAGACGGTGTTTATCATTGTTGTTCTGATGCAATCATTTTTCTCTCAAAATTGTCCCAGCTTATATGATAAACTACCCGTGATATGAATTTCCCGTGATATGTTCAGTAGTTCTGAGAAGTGCAAATAAGAGTTATGTGCAAAATAAAAAAATAGGTTGATGATTCTTTATTGTGCCAGAAACTAATCTGAGAACCTCATTTACATTGTTTCAAAATTACTATTTTATATTTCCTCATAGTTATTATTATAACTCCTATTTTACAGATGATGAAATTGAGGCTTAGAGAGGTTAAATAACTCACCCAATGTTACACAGATAGAAAATATGAAGTTTAGGAACTAAATACACCTCTTTGTGATCTATTGCCCCCAACCACTATGACCATTGCTTCTTAAACAAACAGGTAAATAAACAAGTAAAAAGATTCCTGTACATAAGTAGATTTGAGGATGATGGTTTAAATAAAGTATGCTAAGTAGGCTACTTTGCTACAAGACTTTTTCTGTCTGCAACATGTCAAAATACTTGGTACATCTTCAAGGAGTGATATGAGTACATCACTCATTGGGCCATGACACCCATTTTTTTTTTTTTTTTGAGGAGGACTAAAGTTCTGCCAAGCAAACTCTGGCTGATGTTGCTGCAGGAACCCGAGGACGGCCAACCATCCTCTTCTCTGTGGGTCAGCCCTCCACAATATGGACCGAGAGTCCACATCAGAGTCTGCCTCTGGGGGGCTCCAATTTCTCAGCTCTGGGATCTCATGGTCATATCGTCTAATACTTACATTCATGCTTTTCACCACCCTTCATTGTGCCTTTTCACTCTTCATACTAGTCTTTTTGTTTTTCACTTCATCTTCTTTTCATTTACAAGCCTAGAAGTCTTCATAGGGAACTTTTAAGTTGGTTTTGGCCAATGTCCTTATGACCTAATAGAAACCTTCTGACTATTTGGAGCACAGAAGATGAAGATGAGGGGAAAAAAGAACTTATAAGAAAAAGAAGACAAATTCACGGGTCAATTTTAGTCCTCTCTTTTTGAAATGGGTAATTAGAGTGATGGATGTGGATGAGGTATGAGAGGAGGCGGAAATTTGTACCTGCATTTTTCAGCTATGCATAATGTATTTCTTGGGTCCAGCCTAGGGTGCTTCAATTCCAGGGAGGGCGGGGAGGGTTCCTGATAAAGGGGTTAAAGGGCAGGATCTGAGTCCTTCCTATCCAGTCCCCTCAGTGCAATGTGGACAATGGCTGACTTCGTATGTTTGGGTCCCCAGCGCCATAAGGCTATGTTTCCAGTGGTTTTGTCACTCATTGATGAGTAGTCTTTCATTTTATTCCTTTTCTGCTCCCACCTCCCCTTTGCACTACTCCTGATTGACTGAAACTGACATGTTTCAGAAGACAGTCTATTACTGTGACACAGGCAAGCCAGTTCCCACATCTGGAATAACCTGGCTTAGCAGCTGATTTATGGCCTATATACCTATGACAGACCGTTTTCCTACAAAAACAATCACTTAACCCTTCCCCACCCAAGACTTGCTTCCTCTATTGTATATGGATGTCTTAATTTAGGAGACTAACGTTTTTGCTTTCATAAATGTCCATGCATCTTCTGTAGATCAGTCCTTACTAAAACGTCTTTTTTTATTTCTAGTAAAAATCAATATGCACAGGGATTCAGTTTTCCATCGCCTCCTGGACTTGCCCAGTCCCATCTATCCCTAGAGCGTCATTGGAAGCTTCAAGTTGTGCCAGAGGCTTGGTCTGGCCATAGATCCCGCAGGGTTACCCTAGAGGGCGCACTGTTTACGTCGTCTGTAAGCAACCAGACAGCGCTGGCTCCCGGGCTCCATAAAAGGGGAGGAGGCGGATCAGTTTCCTCCTCTCATTGAGAAAGAAGAGGATTGGAAGGCTGAGCGTATAAAGCCGCGCAGAGAGCGTGAAACAAAGCAGTCGGATCGGAATTGGACTCGGGAAGAAGCACGGCGCGGAGTCAGGCATAAAAACTTGTTGGAGGGGAGAAACGAGCCAGCTCCTCCAGCTCTCCTGGTCTGCGCCGTGCTTCAGGGATTCCCAGCAGCCTTGCCATTTATTTTTTTATATCTGCTTTTTTATATATACAGAGAGAAATATACATATATATTTTTTTTCCTCTTAAGAGAAAATTCCTGTTCTAAGAGAAAATAAGACAAGATCAATGAAGGAGAGAAGAGCCAGCCAGAAACTGTCCAGCAAATCTATCATGGATCCTAATCAGAACGTGAAATGCAAGATAGTAGTGGTGGGAGACAGTCAGTGTGGGAAAACCGCGCTGCTGCACGTCTTCGCCAAGGACTGCTTCCCCGAGGTGAGTGGGGCCGGCGGGACTGTGAGGATGGGGGCGGCCCGCGGGGGTACTCTGTCTCTAGGTGGGTTTCCCTTGCTTTTCCCTCTTCCCCTATTATTAATTATTATTATTATTATTATTATTATTATTTATTTTTAAAGCTCTCCCTTTTCACCCCTTATTCCTCCCACCGGCTAGACTGGCTGGAGAGGAAAAGTGGGCAGGAAGCATGTAGGGGTTGGAACGCGCCTGCACATTCTCTGCTGTTAGCTCTGAAACTTCAGAACCCGGATTTGGAAGATTTGGATCCTGATGTCTTGGGGAGCCCAGGGGGAGGGGGGGGGAGGCGAGTGGGGAGCCGGGGGTTAGGAATAGACAATCAATGCCTGTTTGGTGTGTGAGCTGATGTGTGGGGTATTGTATTTGTAATTGAGGAGGCAGCGTTTCAGAGGGTGTCTGTCCTTGCGGCGTCGTGAGAGCTTTTTAACATAACCTCTTTGCCCTCTTCTGTCCATTTTGTTCGTCTAGAATTACGTCCCCACGGTGTTTGAGAATTACACGGCCAGTTTTGAAATCGACACACAAAGAATAGAACTGAGCCTGTGGGACACTTCGGGTAAGAGTCACTGTGGGACCGCGTGGTTCTTGGGGGGGGGGGGGGGGGTTCCAGCCGCCCCGGGTGCGCGGCGGCTCTCCGCACCCGCTGCTGTCCCACGGCGAACGCGGCCTTTTCCGAGGGGTCCCGGGTCCCCGCTGGGTGCTGATGTGGTCCCTGCTGGGTGGGGGAGCTGATGGCAGCGGGGAGGGAGGAAAGCGCGCTGCGTGCCCGCAGGGTGACCCCGCGGTGGGCACCGCCGGGAGCCGGGGGGTGGGGGGCGGAGAGCGGTGGGCGCGCGGGACGCGCTGCCCGGGTCGCCCCGCAGCTGCCAGGGGGGCCCGGTGCTGGGGTGCTGCGGGCGCCGCCTCGGAACCTCCCGGCTCCCGGCGGGCACTCCTCCAGGATCCAACCTGCTAGCTTTCTGGGAGGCGGGGAGCGCGGCGGGGGTGGTGGAAAGGGGGAGGCGGGAGAAAATCCCCGAAGCGACGCGGTTCTCTTCGGATCCCGCCCCCGGGGGGTGCGCTGGGCGAGGAAGGAGCCGGAGCGCGGCCGCCGGGGGCAGTGACGCCCGCAGCCGGGAATGCGCCGGCGGCGGCAGCAGGCGGCCCGCTGGTCCCCGGCTCCCATCCCGGCCGCCGCCTGGCGCCGACCTGCAGATCCGAGCTCCCAGGCCTCCCCTCATCCACCCCCACCCCCGCTCCTCCTTGGTCCCGCCGTCCCCCTCTCCCCGCTCCCCGCTCCTCTCGGTCACGCCGCCCCCCGCCCGTGCCATCCCCCCTGCCCCCTATTGCATCACCCCGCCCGCCTACGAGGCCGCGGGCCGCACACTTCGCCTTTGACCTTCCCGTCCAGTTGAATTATGGACGCCGTGGTGCGTGGGTTTCAAGGATCTGGGGTTCAAGACCGGGTTACCGCCTTCCCAGGCTCCCACCCATCCACCTGGCGCGCGGTGGTGGTAGCTGGAGCCGGATCCCAGCACAAGGCTTGGCTTTTAGGGGTTCGGGCAGGGTCTGATGGGGTTAGGGTACCCTCTGGGATGTGAGTCTGGGAGCCAGGCGTCCGCTCTGGGAGCGAAGGAGCGCGGTGCTCCCCCGGGACATTGCCTCTGGAGGGGGAGGAGCCGGCGCCCAGGCCGGGCGGCCCCCACCCTCTGTGCGGAGCTGAGCCAGCAGCTGGGCTGCGCAGGTGAAACCAGCCGAATCCCGGGTGAAACCAGCGCGCAAGTGCGGACACGCAGGTGTTGCTGTCAAGCTGGGAGTAGCCTCCCGGAGGTGCATCTGGGCCGTGCGAGCACCCCACATCCTTAGGCTTTAACCTTTGCAGCCCCGGAGGCACTGGGGGGGGGGGCGGGGGGGAGGAGGGAGATTGGGTTGAGAGCACCGGGAAGGAGCCGGACTGGTAGGGTCGCCTGAGGCGGTCCGGGCACAAAGGCCGGCGGGAAGCCTCGCACCAGCGCCTCTCCTGGCCGCTGCCTGACGCTCTGGGTTCTGCCCAGAGAAGCGCCGGTTTTGTTTCTCCCCGGAGAGCCAGGCTCTTCCTGGAGCGTTGCCAAGGGCAGCAGAACCAGGACCTCGGCATGTTTTGTATTGGGGATTGCGCACAGTCTCGCAGCTGCAGGGAAGGTGTTGATAGAATTGCTAGTGTTTTCTTACCTCAGTAGTTGCTATTGTTAGCGTTGTTACAGTACTTAATGGCATCTAATTCCCGGATATATCAAGGTGCTGGTTATACCTGATGGACAGGACAGCTGGTTTGGAGCCAATAATTAGCACCAGTAATCCATCCCATCCCCCTCACCACACACACACACACACACACACACACACACACACACACACACACAGGTTTGGACCTAATGCAAGGTATAAAGTATGTAGGCATTTAGGTGAGGGGTCTGAGTCTGATCCAGTCGTTGATATGAAGCTGTGCTTCGATCTTAGCTACTGGTTACCACTGATTTCTGTGAACAAATCCCCTACCTCCCTGATTCTCATGTTATTGTCTGAAAAAAGAGAACAGAGAGCTAGGTCACGTGCAAGATCTCTCGCAGCCCTTCTCTTCTTGGCTTTAGGATACCAGACAAGCAAGTCTTTTTGTTTCCCACGATCGGTTGGCTTCTGCTCTCAGTCCCAGTTGATCTGGCATTCCAGGGCTGGGGTTTTCACCACCCACAGAGCAACCAGGTTCTGGTCAGAGCCACTGCTTCCTGGTGGGTTTAGGAAGGAGATTCATTTAGGTAGGGGAGGGGCCTGGGTGGGCTCAGAGGAAGGAATGCTGGGTTATACATGCCCTGTCTCAGGCTTCAAGAGTCACAGGACCACCAACGGAGATTTTTCGATTAGGCCTCCGAAGAGCTAAATTGACTTTTTTTTTTTTTTTTTTTTTTTAGCAGAAAAAAATGACACATTGTTTTTCAAAGGCTAGAAAATAAACAAAATGTGGACAGTTTATAGTTGGAAGCTATGCTTCACATGTGCAGTAAATATCAATCACTTCAGATATTTTCAAGTATTTAATTCAAACTTTTTGCATACATAGCATCATGTCTCACATACGGTATTCACCCAATACAATATGTTGCATGAACAAATGAATATGCATAGTTTCCAAGGAGATCAGATTTCCTGACATTTATTACCACCGAATTACCTGTGCACAAAGATGTCAACTTTATAACACTGCCTTTCATCAAATTAAAGATAATCACCTGAAATGAAGTCTGTAGTGAGATAATCACTTGTATTTTTACTTAATAAAACAAAAACGGATGGATGTTTAACTGAAATATAAAGGTTTGAAAAAACTCTGATTAAGAAAATATCACTGGAAAATGATTCCATAATGAAATCTTTGCTCCAATAGAGGTTTATACAAATGGAAAAAAGGCATAGTTAGAATTCCATTATGTTATTTGTGAGGCAAAATATTAATTAAACACAGTTACCAAACACTGCTTAAATTCTAAAATAGACTCCACCAAAAATGGTGTGTCACTCATGAGCAAAACACATCTAGCAAGAACCACTACATCAGCAGCTAATCATTTCAAGTGTCTTTAACATTTTTCCATTACAACTCGAGCTTTTCATGGCAAATTTCTAAACAGGATTAATTTCTGACGAATGTTTGACATTTTCTTTGCCCGCTCAGACATTTGTTTAGTTCAGGTTGTAAAAATAATTGCATGTGTCTTGTGCCTCCTGATACATTTATTTTTTCCAATTGCTATCCATTTAACTTTGGAGATAAGATCTAAAGCACTTCTGTAAAGCCTTAAACGTCAATTGTATTTTTCCTTCCTAAAACATTGTGAATGTTAGAGATTTGTTTAGGGAAAATTAGATGTTCCTCACTTCACTTATAGAAGGAGAGAGATTGCATAAACTTTGTCCTTTGAATGGCATGCTCCTCATGTTTATCCTCCTAGCAGAAGGATAAACATTCAGGAAACAGAAGCATTTTTTGCCTTATCTGGCTTCCATACTTGGAAGGCTTCTCATAAAGGGGTCTCCTTTCCCCCCAGTAGTCACACAATATGCACAGGCAGAGCCCTGCCAATTTGGGTGTAGGAAAGAACATCAAGTGGAAGCAGGCACTGTAGAGTCTTTTTGCACCAAGAGAAAAGATAATTCATTCCCCACTTTATAAGGCATGGAAACGTATGGTGCCTTCCACTCTTTCTCTAGATCCCTTCTTTTTTCTGTACCTACTATGTGCAAGCCCTATGGGAGGTCTTAGAGATGCAGTGTTAGTTTTAAAAAGGCCCTTCCCCTAAGAGTCATATAATTCAGGGGGGTGGGGGTGGGGAGGGGGGAGGAAACCCTCCCCCTTTTTAGAGTAGCTCATATTCAACTTATGATCAGAGTCTTGCACCAAGTGCCCCGTTCCACCTGGTTACAGTGAATTTCCATTGTCAGGCATCCCTCGTGCTGATAGACCCTCCCACCCCCAGGGCGCACACCAGTTAAAGCCACCTCAATGGCTCTTGGCTAGTTGATTTCTGATGGTTGCTTAAAGTCAGCCCCTCTGAAAGTAAACAAAACCTTCTTTGAATTAATGCTAGCATGACTCCACTAAAAGATGGTGGTGGGGGCTAAAGATAGCCTTTGGATACAGATCCATAATTTCTTGATTTCAATGAGAAGCATTCCCTTTTTATTAAGAAAATGAACATGTTTATTAATAGTTGTAGAAATGCCCCAAATAATTTTCAAATTTACTCCATGAGCTTCTGCAAAACCATGGGTCCTGCTATCAGCACTTTGAGGTGATGAGTTGAGATCAGAGTAGTTCTACTATCTATCATGTGCTTCAGAGCCGGCCACATTTGCCAAGCATGGAAGCAATTTGTAGCATGAAGCTAATAATAGAAGCTTAGTCATTTAAGGATCACCATATCTTTCCTAAGTGATTTGATTGCAGTGTAATTTCAACGCATGTGATTTAGGGAATAATAGTCATTCATGTCAGCTTTTAAACCAAGGCAAGTTAATGCACATTTTATTTCAGGCATATTATTAGTTTTAAAATACTCAGTTCAGCTGCTAAAATTTCCCCACAATAACTATGCTGTTTCCTCATGAATACTCTTTTGAATCTTGTCATGATATAAGCTTCTTTTAGGCCCTATGTGCTAAAGTTAGTACTTCCTTATTAGTTTTTAATGTTATTAACAGAGAATACAGTTGTATTTAAATTTTATACTTAAAGGAAAAGGGAAGAAAGAAATATCTTAATTATTCATGGCCTGACTTTAAGAACAAACTCTTTACAAATAGAAGTCATTTATATGGTTTTATCCATAGCTTATACACAAGTTTAAAGGACGGTCTCTGTGACAAGCATTCTATTGAAATATTTCTTAACAGGAATGGAAATGTTCAGCTGTGTTGAAGATTAGTGTATAATTAATTCAGAAAGGCAGCCTCAAAAGAGATCGCTGGTCCCTCTTTTGTGATTTACCATGTAAATTAACACATCAAGGCAAGACATATAGAAAGGAGTATAAAACCAGTAAG